TAGCATTGTTCTTCCGACGTCTGATTTCTTTTTAATTATAGGAAATGCGTTTTTCTAAGGTACATAATCTTTTGGGATTGACTGTATAGCCAATCTTTCAGCTCGGTATCTACTTCTATTGTATCATTGTACGTCATACAATATGGAATTCCGGGATCATAACTTCTGAACTAATAAATTTTTAGCCTAAATATCTTAATACTTTTTGAAATGAAGATGGAAGTAGGCTGTGTCATAATATGCAATCCAGAAGCTTCTAATTGTAAGCAGTTCAGCACATAATTAGTCCCTTAATATTTTTGCAATAGACATTTAGAAATATATACTTGAAAGAGTAAATACTATGTCCGTTAAATAAAAACCTACCTCAAGCTTTCATCCATAATATGTACAATTAATCGTTCTTGACTATTTTCTCTTAATACATTCGTAATCGAGATTTATCTTAAAAGAGCAATACAATATTTACTAATTAACTAGTGACCACCAAACTTGCACCTCAAGCTTTTCGTGATATGTACAATTAATCGTTAATTACAAGTTAGTTAACTGTAACTCGAAATTGCTGCTTTCTAATAGACAGTTTCGTATATCCATGATCGATGATGTACTCAATCAACTAACATATTGCTTTGAATACGTTGATTAATGTCTCCCGTGACCGTATTTCGTATTACTCTATAAATAGGATTGATCGCATTGAATATTAGATTTGATGGACATGGAAGTCCAAGGAGTCAGAGATTAATTAATAAATTTTTACTTACCTGGGCGTCGCTTCTGCCTAGAATGGAGAACCAGCTTCGCAAGGGGGTGTTAAAAGTCTCATTTACCAAGATTATTATTCTCATTTATTAAAATTAGGAACGGGTAGGGAGGATACAAAATAAATACGAGCGTCAGTTGAATATAGCAAGAACTTTATAAAAGACGAGGCAGACTCACAGATGGTTTAAGTACATTAGTATATGTCTCAAAACTCTGAGAAACGTGTGACGGTTTTTGCGTTCGCATTATTTATTCATTTTTTTTTTTAATTCTTTTTCCTTTCTTAAGTAGATCACACGGATGAAAAAATGTTGTTGCGTAGAGAGGTGCGTTTACATCGTGCGTAAAAAGTACGAACATACATCAATCGAAAAAAGTCGTCAGACGAGGTCGTCGTAGAAGCCGAGGAAAAGGAAACGCTTGACTAGATCGTTCGATGAACTCCCCCTGTTCGTGTTATCAGTTATTATCGTCGGAAATTAACATATCTCTGAATCATACGTAAGCAGACGTTGTGTTCCTCGCTTTTCTAACTGGGGAGACTTGAAAAGCTACTGGCGTCATCGTAGAAACATATAAATGACCGAGAATCGTCGATTTCGTGCGTCGTTGTTCGCATAATTCTTTTATCTTGTTTTAAAAAGAAGGTAGCCATCGTTTTTCACGTTTTTAATCTAGCGTGGACAAGATGATAAATAAGAGGCGGGCCGGAGGTGTCCTCAAGCCTAACGCGAAAAGGGGGAACCCTTACGATAAGAAAAAACGTGACATTCGCTCCCGCTGCGTTGGCATCGGGAAAAATATAACGTCAAAATTACCGCGGGGGCAAAATATCAGGAATCGCCTCATTGGCGATCCGCGGACTAACGTGCGAAAATGACCTAGGGAGTCGATATTGTTTTATAGCGCCGTCGCGTTGTCCGTCAGCGCGTACCGATGATAAATACGTCTCTTCAATAGTTAAAAAATTGAGAAAACAACAAGGAAGCTAGTAGGTCGACTCGAATCTCAATTTGCAGAATTCAAGTTGTATCCACTGTAAAACGGCTTCGTCATTTGAAACGAAGACAGCACCTGTGGGTGCGAATTATTATGCAATCTTTTCGCTGAAAGGTCGAACGGAACGTGGCACGTGCAAACGTTCGCGGAAATGGAAAACTGGAAACAAGAGTAAAATGAATCAACATGTGGAATATAGTAAAAATACTGGCCGCGAGTCGAGTGTTTATTTAGGTTCGAATTAATTATCGATTCTCATCAGTTTCCCAAGTTGCACGATGAACTTTTTTTCAATGAATAATTACGTATATGTCGCACGGCCGCGTTTTCAATATTTCATATCTCATTTTTAAAGGAAACCGATAACGTGAGAGCGATATTAACGTTCCGCCTCGGATGCCGTCGGCGGAGAGTTCAGAGTTACAGACGCGGGATATCCGTGGACAAAAATTAATTATGCGACGTTGGAGTGGGAAAGAGCGATATTGAATCGGCTCGTGAAATGAACGGATGCGGAGCTGACATTTACATAGCGCAGACAGACGTCTCGGAAGTATACGCGTATATAAATGTTTCCAATGAAATTGAAAAATTGACCTTTTAGAAATTCTCTACGCAAATTCCTAGAATGTCCAAGTTATTCATTTCATTTCAAATCCGTTTTTTATCCATTCTGTTATCTATTTTATTATAGATTTTCCAAGCATCGTTTTCGAGGTACAGTGGAACCTTGTTATGTCTCTACCTTTGAATAAGTCCACGTATCCTTTCCTCGGAGGAGTCTACGCGAATATATCTCAAACGTTTATAGAACGTCGAAATTAATCTTTCGATTCATTCGTCACTTGAGTATCGATTTGCACGAAGGTCAATTGACCCTCCGTTACGTAAAAGAACGGGGAACGATTGAGGAGTTGATCGAGAAGCGAGACCAAGAGAGAAAAGAGATTACAGACAGTAAGAGAACGCACAGATGGTTGGAACGATACAGAAATAAGAGAATCAAGGATGGAGCCGACCGAGGCTGACACGAGCCAATCTTCTTGATAAATTATCTGCGTGTCTACTATTAATAGAGGGGTTTACATAGAGAATCTGCTGGGTATTTATGCTTGTATTTTCTCGGACACGATGCCCATGAATGGCTCGGCTCACGCGAGAGTGAGTTTAATTGACTGAAATGCCGAACCGAATCGAGGGCACGAGAATTTCGACGCGCGTGCACGAGGACTCGTTTAAGAGTCGACGACACGTGTACGATAAAAGACGAAGATATAATTCCTTTCGCCACACAACTCTCGTACTAAATAACTTACAGGGTGTTCCAGTAGTACTGAAGTGATTGCGATTGTATGTGAGAGAACAAGTCGAAAATATGGAATCAATATTTTTCATCTATCCTCGAGAAAATCGACTTTGAATTTCCGTCGAGTATAATTGAATCGTGAATTATTATAATTAGATTGTACTTCAAAAATTCGTTAATTAAAATCGCGTGGATTCTGGTTATCGGGAAGGAAAGAACGTACTCCCATGCGGAAAATCCGATGGGTCGATGCGAAATGAAATATTTCGGGTTTATCGGCAAACCTTGGGCGAACGCGTTGTGCTATGGGACGTTTCAGGCCACCGAAGGCTTTGCCAATGGGATGCCACTTGTAGCTGAAATGTCTGCCCTATTGTAGATATCCAAAATATGTAGCCATCGGATACCACACGTACCCTGAATATCGATATAGGACTATCCTGATCGTCGGTATTCGCTGTATTCTAAATATCCGAGCGTTTCTTCCAAAATGATCGATTTTCGAAATCTGCACGTGTCCTTTTATGCAACTCGGTCTCGTGGAAATTACTCAACGCTCCCGGTATCGATTCTGAACGCGGAGAAAACAGAAGTTGCGGATCGACCGCGCTGACGGACGCCGACTTTAATCGTTCGTTCGGATTAGGTGCGATTGTCAGAGCTGCTGTCACGCCTGTCGCAAGCGTTTCGATAGAAAATTGAAAACCGTGAAACAGGAGAGCATTTAGACTGGCAAGGAGAGACACACGAGAGTAAGTCCTGTAAACGGTTCCGCTTATTTTATCCCTTAACTCCCATCCGTTCTCTGTTTCCTCGAATCAGTTCGTTCCTCCTGAGTAAATAAACGAATTTACGAAAAATCTTTCGTCTTCCGATAATTAAATCGTGTGTGCGCTGGATGAGAGTGTTCCTTGTAGTAAATTGATTTAAAGATAATCGGAACGATTGCTTTCCGGTGGACGCGAGGGACGGATGGAAGTTAACAATAAGCATGTATATATGTACTTACATGTTCACTTTTACGCGCTTATGGTTAAGATCGATAAAATCTGACAAATTACACAACAATACAATGACATTAGATACGATCGGCTTGTTATCCGATAAAAAAACTCCTCCAACTTGGTCTGGTCTTTCGTTAGGCTCGAAACGAATCGCGATTCGTTCTGATTCGCGTTTCGTTCCTCATTTCTACACATATGTATATCTTTTTATTTTCATCTTACGTAATTAGGGTGACGACCAGAAACAAGTTCAAGGATCGTTGTCCATCAGCCGGGAGATCTGAACAGTTCCGCGATCGCACCGACCGCGATTACTCCCGCCGCGTATCGGTGCTCCTATACACACGACCGTACATGTATAATAAGATAAGAAAACGTTGAATCAAGAATACTGTTGGGAAGCGCGCGCGCTGCACGAAATAACCGCTTCCCCTATTATTTTTCTTCATTTTCTTCTCTATTACAGAAACGAGAAACACACATAAGATCCTTGTCCATGACGGGCGTGGGATCGCCGAGGATCGCAAGATCGAAACATTCGTCCTTTTTCCCCAATTCCATTATACAATTCGAATTAATCGTCGAGCTTTTGCCATGGAGAGATCAGATCAGGGATCATGTAAGCTGCGACTCGAAATAAGAAAAATAGATAAAAAATCTCAAAATAGTCTTGGCGAACGATTAATGCTCTTAAAACCCTGAAGATCGAATAAATCTTCAGCTCGATTGACGCAAGATGACTCAAGCGAGCTCTGTTATTTATATTAGCGTGAATCGTCTCACGTTATCAATTTAGCTCTAAGCTCGACTCATAAATAGAGATAAGAATACTTAATTCACAACGTCGACGAAATTATGCCGCACGTAAGTCACTTTAAGAGCCAGGGGAGATACTCTATCGCAAATTGGTATGTGAGCCATATATAATCTAGAAAGTAAATAACTCGCATTATGTTTGCAACTAGGACAGATAAGGCGACACGGTATACGCGGTAAAGATTACTACGATTGCTGGGTCAGAAGTTGATAAAATGAACGTTGAACTGGAGAACGGTTAATAGGGGATGTCGTGACCGATCTTGCAATCCGTTCTGAAATCCTCCCTTCTCGCGTGTACTAATAGGCACAACTATCCCATTCGAATATTCACTCTTTAAATCGTCAACAGTTTTAGTACAGTTTTATATATATACAAAGTGTACAGACTCCGCTACTTCAGTTCAGAGGAGGGATACAACTTTCATGCGACTTATCGTTTCCTCGATCGGTGCCCACTGTATCTGATTGAAGCATCGGCTCGAGTTTCACGACTTGAGCACTACCCGACTGATCCACTCGTGATAAACCACTTCAGATCATGAAATTATAAGGTATCATCATATAATAAAAGGTATCAAAGTCCTCCTGTTTAACGATTTTTCAAATTAGTACTCATACTATGTGTCATGTCTGTAATGCTGCCATTATCAGTCAGGATACGTTTATTACTGAAGATATTACAAACTATTTAAAAACTGTAGAAGTCATAAAACGTTTAATGTAATTTACATCTTACTTTGATTTGATTTGTTTGTTTTTTGGAAAGAGATGAGAAACTGAAATCAACAGACAGAACTGCGAACTGTATAATAGTGAGTATCTGACGTTAGCATAGAAAGCCATTGAATCTCGTACCAGTGCTTTTAATCAGGGCTCGCGGGGTACCGAGGAGATTTCGTGTGTACAAGCAAGGCCCGAATCACCAGCGGGCACACGTGCGCGGTACACGACGATTCATGATAGTCTATTAAACGTGTATGCGGTGTGCGGACTAACGATGGTGTTATCGATCGTCCTGCTAGCAATGCAGCAACGATACAAGCACACATATCGTTCACATGTGCTTCCTAGTTAGAATTACTTCGAGTTGGGAATGGGAAAAGGAATGGAATACGAGGGGCTTACAAATGGAACGCCGCGTCAGGACGGGTACTCGATAAAACAGGATCCAGAAAATCAAGTGTAGAGTCGCTGATGGGAAACTCTGCTTTCCTCTCTTCTTCCTTCTGATTGAAATCGAAGATTGAAAAGACTTTTGCACGTATTTTGTACGTCACCTCGAAAAACGGGGTTCGCAAAACAGTTTTCGAATATTTCTCTGTTTCAATTGTTGATAGAAATACTACTAAATAGAACTGATACTTTTAAGTAGACGTGCTCTCTGACTGGATGTAGAAGACAGGAGACACTTGCCGCAGAGACACTTCAGGAAATTTAGGAGAGGACGTGTATAGGGTAAGAAAAGTTTCAGCGAGGAGGGAATCAACATCTGTAAAGCTTGCTTGGGACTAAGGGGACTTTATCGTCGTCGTCTGTTTCTTCTCCAAGAAGAATCAAAGTGGAAAAAAATTATGTTAGGGATCCGCTGCGAAGCACGAGAAGTGAATCGGGAAAGCAAAACCGCATTGTTTAGTTGATACAGAACCAAAAAACCATAAAGCCATTAAAACAGGTAAAAACCATTTGTAATAATAGAAACTTATGGGAAAAGTTATCGCGGCTGTCCCATTTGAGAATCTTGCGAGGGTCAAAAGTAACACCAGGAACGGGAGATTGAAGCGAGGGGTGATAATATCTCGTCGAACACCTCGCACGTGCGATGACACTATACTGGTACAGGTACAGTAAAACGTGTAAGTAGTTTTGTGCATTGTTTGCGCGCGCGAATCTTCGTTAATTTCCGTGTTATTTATCAGACAATAGACTGCAGTATCGATAGAATGATTTTATTGAACGTGAATCGGAATCGCTAGAGGAGAAAGACTGTTTATGTACCGACGAAACGGGACAGGGATTTCACAGGTTGAACTGGACAATTAAATAGAAAGAAATTAACGAGCTCTTCGCCGCGGTAATGAGCAAGCCGACGCGATGAGACAGTCAAAAATGGTTTGACACGGATTGTTCGCGTTGTGTGTGTACTTTTCATTTACCCTGGTCTCTTTTGGTCTTTTTGTTTTTTGGAAAAGAGCCGATGGTCGAGTATGAACATTAATGTTTGCGTACATAACGTGTGTGTATGTGTGTATATATAATATAATGTGAATGTGTATAATTGTGTACTATGTGTACCACATCGATCGCTCTTGAACGAGAAATCGAGTCCTTCGTTCTTCGCTACTTTCGGTTTATGTTAACATCGACTGCACTCTAAAGTATTATTATTATTATTATTATTATTATTATTAGTATCATTATTATTATTATTGTTATTGTTATTATTATTAATTTAACCTTTTATTTCTTGCTTGCGTTCGTTTTAGTTGTAAGTAGTTCTACCATAATTACGCTTGTTACACACGACTACGCCGCGCACGGATGTTCTTTTATTATCAAAGACGCAGACGATAGGTGAAAAAAGTCTTTAGAGGAAAATAGGTATTTTTTGTTCTGTTTTCTTTTTCCCTTAGTAAATTGACAAAGTAGTATATGTATAGATAGAATTGTATTCGTGTATCGCGTGTATATATTGGAATTCGTATTGGAGGGAAATTTCGTTACCTTTTTTTGTTCATTTTGTTTTTTTTTGGTTTCCTTTTTGTATCCTCTTCTGAATATCTCATTCCTGATTTCCGTTCTCGATTGGTTCCCGCTGAAATGTGTATGCGTGTATGTATACGTATGTACGTGGAATTTTCGTAACCAGCCTTCGAATCGATTCGCAGTCCTCTTCCTGGTTCTCATTATCGACTTCTCGAGAAAGAGCAGCTCCGCACGGATAGCAGCAGAGTGGAGTATCCTCGTCCCGAGCTGACTTGACGTTCGAGGAGCTTCAATCAAAACGGGAGCACGCCCACTTCGTTCTTGTTCGTCCTCAAAATTATGCTTCGCCGACGACAGGATGGGCGAATGTGATCAATGATCTTCGGTCGTCCTCGAGGCGAATTACATTTCGCCTCGCCGTCATATTGTCGAGTTGATCAGCACTCTGGTCACGAGCTCGCGCGATATCCGCGGCCGGTGGAGCAAAGAAACACGTTTTGGCAACTCTCCCCGCGTTGAGAATGATAAGATTTATGTACGAATCGTGCAAGCCACTGATCCGGATACGAACTTAGCGCAAACTCTCTTCTTTAACAGCGAAGTTGCCGTTCCGTTGTTCCTGGAGATACTCCGATAAGCCGCGATGAATATTCTGACCCACAATACTCTTCCTTCTTATTCAGTGTGTGTCACACAATTGTCACTTCGTTTCCTCCCCTCGGTTTCAAATCGCAAAACGAGTCCACAGAAACACGCGTGTAAGTCAGTCCCTGATGGTTTCAGTGTTTCTAAAGATCCAACCCGACGACACAATCGTCACTTCGTTCTTCTCATAAAATTTCTCAACAGCGCAGCGCATCCGTTTCCTCGATCCCGGGAGAAACGTTAGAACCAGTCCTCCAGTTCTTTTTCAACTAGCGTGTCGTTCTCGTGCATCCGAAAATTACGCGAAATCGAAACGGGTCCGCTGGTCCGCGAGAACCACGCGCGCTTGTGTGCAAAGCTGTGTTCAGAGCGGCTCGCCCCGTCTGGTGGCCATCTTCGCAGCCCTGGAAGCCAAAGCGCCCAATGAGCAGACGAGCCCTGTCAGGGTCTCCCAGAAAGTGGTCCTACGCCTTTTGTTCGCTGCCTGACCGACGTACCCCAAATAATAGCCGGCGTAATGGTCGTTGCCGCGGTCCGATCCGCTGTCCGATCTCCCGACGCTGGACCTGGCCGATTTCGGCTGCTGCACGATGCTCGGACGTTGACAGCGTCGACGTTGCTCCGTGGTCTGATCGCCGGTCTGGGATCCGTCACCGTATCGATTCGGTTCGTCCGATTCCGATCCGTACAACCGTTGCTGGAGTTGCACGTTGCTCAGGCGGCGGTCCATCATGCGGACCAGGTTCTGGTGGACCCGGTGGTCGTCTTCGTTCACGACAGGCAACTGTCGACGGCAGCCGGTCGCGGCGACCGGCGGCAACTCGTTCAGCTCCTGTTCCACTTGTCAGGCGTATTCGGTGTCTGTCGAGACGGACCTCTCCAGATGGGCCGGATGCCCGCTGTGTTGTTGATTGTGATGCTGATGCTGATGTTGCTGCTGTTGTTGCTGCTGAGCCTGGGTGTACGCGATGCTCTTCTGATAACTGAACAGCTGCCTCTCCAGGCTGTAATTGTCCGCCTGCAGCGAGGCGATCTCCAGCCGCATCTGATGATTGTGGATGCGGTACACGTCGTCGTATTTGTGGTAGGTCGCCTGGAACAGCAAGTGGCTCTCGTTCCACTCGATGCGGATCCTCAATTGGCCTTTGTCCGTTTGGAACGGGCTTCGATTTTCCTTCACCTCGCTCGTCTCTAGATTCGTCTCCATGATTATGCCCTCATCCGCGGATTCCTGGGCGTAGTAACGGCTGAACGGGCCGCCTGGCAAACTGACCGCCACCGCGCTCGGGTCCTCGCCACGCAGCAAATACGCTGACCAGCTCACGTATCTACTCACACACAAATCGTAATAAATGATATTTTTTAAAGAACTAGGCTAGTCACGTTTTCTAATATTTGTCAATAAAATGCTGACTTTTCTTTCTCTATTTTATCCAGGCAAGAATAGAATAGAATACTATCAAACACCTACACATGTATTTAAAACCGAATTTTATTTGTTAAATGAGCGAGTGTAGAAAGATTTTAACAAAATAATAAAAATTTCTGGTCTATTGGCATATTTTGTTAATTGATTTCCATGTTTATGAAAACCCTATTTAATTATTACTAACCGTAAATGATTCCTCGGAACGTTGTGGATGTCCTTGTAAACCAGATGCAGTCTGACGGTGTCCGAATGCAAATCAGCGCGTATGGTCCAGGCTTGCTTGTCACGATCGTAGCAGGGAGTCGCCGGGAGAACGGGTGGTCCCCAAGCCTGCACGGCCACCTCGCAGATGGTCCTGGCCTCGACCATTTCTAAGGTCACCCTCACTATACCCTTGTGCGCGATCTCGGACAATCTGACACGAGGATGCCAGCCGAATCCGCATCTCTCAGCGTCGGACAAGTCCTCGATCTGGCCGGAATCGATCCTCCGCTCGCCCTCGCCCAAGGCCACGCTGTATCTGACTCTACACCGATGATCGAACCCAGTCATCCTGATCAGATAAACACTGATGCCGCTGTCGTGGCCACGGTAACCGTCCATCTCCTTGTTACCGTGCGGGTAGATAACCAGGTTCCAGTCAAATCCGCCGAACGTGAAATAATCGGTCTCCAGCTTGTCCGGCTTCGATTGCCCAGCTGGGAACGTGCTGCTGGGCATCTTAAGGTCGGTCATGTAAACCGTCCTCACGTTCGCCATTGACAATTCCAATTGGAACTCGCCGTTCGTGTCGGCGAAGTTCCGATTGTAGAGGTCCGACACCGGGATGTAGTTTCGGTTGCCCTGGGCGGGCGCCTCGTACGTGAATTTCACGCGTTTCCCGGAGAAGCCCTCGTTCATCGAGAAGTGTTCCCGGTTCAGCAGGGTGAACGTGAAGTCCACGTAGACCCGCAGGTTCCTCGAGGCACCGCGCCATACCAGATACGCGCCTAGAACCTGATCCCAGAAATCATCATATTTAATTAATTGCAATTTTATCGTTTTAATATCGTTCGATCATGACATTGAGAATTGAATATAAGTCGAAGCAGCAATACTACGGAAATAGGTCGATCATAAATTTGCTTCCGTCTGATCGTTATTCGTGGCGAGAAAATGGTTCTCGTGAAAATTGTATTAATACCGTGAACACGTGTGTGTGTGCGTGAGTATTGCAATTACCCCTGGAGGTAGAGTGGCTCGTTATTCTTTAGTATTACCTTCGTGACAAGTAATTGAACAGAAGATATTGTGATTGCAAAAAAGTTCTCCTATTTTAACATAGCAATTGCTGTTTCGTTCGCGAGAAGTAATCGCAGTTGTTTCCACGAATACCGTGATTTTATTCCCAAGAGCCATTCGATGGCGGATTATTAGTGGCTGCTTCATTAATTTTCCGATATTATCGTTATCTAATTACTGAGTTAATCGCGGCATATTTTGATACAATGCATCCAACAGCAGCTGCAGCAGCAGCTACATACGTACATATTTACAAAAGCGACTGTCTCTCGCGTTAATTGAATTCAAGCTGAGCCCGTTACCGATTGATTTTTCAATTTGACGACCAAGTTCTCGCGCTTAATCGGATGTAACATCGCTGAGATTAATCGATAAGCAAATGTTGATCCAACTTGTCATTTACCGTTTTTCCATCATTTTTCATTTACTCGTTTATTAAACGGACTGAAAACCCTTTTATAGAGAATATAAAATAGAAATAATAATAAAAGAAATCATACATCGAGTTATGAAAGCCGAAGCTCTTTTTCAAACTCTATTATTTGCAAGCGTAAAAAGTACGAAAACAAAAAATGGTTTATATGGATTTGTTATAAAACGCCTTCTCTACCTGTTGATTCAAAAATGAATGTTTTTGACATGAAAATTCTAAAAGAATTACGTAGTAGATATTGCATACAAAATCTTGTGTTGTATAGATTAATACAAAATAACTACAAAGTAAATAAAAATAGCAACGGTCAGAAAACATTAAATAGTTAAAGATAAGACAACACGTCAGAATAGCATAAGTATTGAAAGAATCAAAGAGCAAAGAGTGAAGCTTCTGTCTAAAGACTAAAAGACTTTTTAAGTAAATGAAATTTAATCTGAAATTATTTAAGCAACGCAGAATTGAAGAAAAAAAACTACCTCGATATATTCAATCTCGTTCCTGTGCATTCGAATGATAAACAACTGTATTTTTCACCGGGTAATATGCATAGTTAAATGCAAATGAATCTGCCACACCGTGTGAATGGACGTACTGTTTTTCGAGTGATACGCTGCGATTCCCATCGCGAATGGAAAACGCAAGAGCGAAAGAGAGTTTGGACTCCGTAGAGAAAATGAAAAATGACCGAGGCAACTCTATTGTATATTCACGGTTGGCTCGGGTCCGGCGTTTGAAACAATTTCGCTTCATTTACTTCGATCGATACGCGATTTTACTGATGAATTCTGATAAATGGCGAGGCGCGCACCGTTCGTTCTCTCGAGCTCAATTCGCCTGCATGCAAGCGCACGGTTCCGTTGTTCACTTCGCTGCGATGCGATTTTATTGATAACTCCGCATGCCGGTGTTGAAATTAGCAGCTAACTTTATTTGCAAAATTGTCGACGTCTATTAAAAAGATAAATAGCCACTGTACGTGTGTTTCAATGCAGCTAACGATACAATTTAGTGAATTATTGATATGAACACATAGTTAATAACTCGCATTCATTTTTGTTTTTCATGATAAAGAGCAGACCTTGATCACTAAACAGCAGATGTTTATGCAAAATAAAACATTTATTGCACCTTTTTAAAAATTGTTTCCGATAAACATTTATTTCATCATTAGAACATTGAAATATGCATTCAGCTTTTGTACATAACATTCATGATTTTTGCATACTTCGATTTTCTTATAAATCCAAAAATTCCGTTGTCTATTGACTATCTTTTAGATTACACTGCTCTGTGATTTTTGGCATAAGAGTTTTACCTTGTTTCCTCTGGAGAGAGCGACGGACCATCGTTGGAATCCGCAGATGAGCTCTTTGCTGGTGACGTCTCTTTCGGGGTCGCGTACCACGCTTCTGGTGACGACGAACGAGAAGACCCGCGTGCCGCTGCTGTCAGGCAGCTGCGCGAATCTGTACAGCAGGGCCATCACCGCATCTCGAGGGCACAGCTAAACCAATGGTCCGCGAGGTTTCGACACCACCGCGATGCTAATTAATTGGCTTGTCAGCAATATCTGTAAAAAATACCAAAATTACCCTCGTTACTATTGGAATTGATTTATAAAAATTTATTCATACTAATCTAATTGAAATTACGTTCTTTTTAAATGTAGCAAATGTAATTGCTATTTATAGAATACATCATATATTTATAATTCAAATGATTAATTAATTACTTTTACACATTCCTAAATGATGGAACAATTTCCTTATCCCACATACATAGAAAATTGTTAAAGTATAATTCCTAAAGTCAGTAAATTTTTTAACATTGTGATTACAAATCTTTTTCTCTTAGTAATTGACTTATTACAAAATTAATTTTCACTAACTCTTATTGTGACAAAATATGATAGATGATTCTTGATTAAAAAATGTAGACTTGAGAAACAGAATGACAGTGTGAATCATTAATTGTCTATTAGTTAGCTTCAATATAAATTGTTATCATTCATTGATACTCCCTTTGGATTTTGATTATGGTAGATTAAATGGATTTCAAGATTTCTGTGTTGAAGGCATGGTAAATATTCAAGGTATGAGGAACAAAGCGTAGTACAAAAAGAAGGAGACCGACAATAAAAAGTTCTCCAAACGACATGATGTAAAGGGAATGAGAATCGCAGAACCACTTTGGCTATTTCGATATAATCCCCCGGCGTGCGTGACAATTAATGCCACAAGGAGCTTTACGTGCGCCGTACTACAATTTTCGAGCCGAAAGCGGATTACGCCAGCCTTTCTGCATCTCGATTCAAAGAAGTGCTTGTTCAGCTGAAAATTCGTGAAATGGACAATTTCCATTTTCACTTCTTCATTACAGTCCTGGGTGATAAAAGTTTTAAAAGAATAGGAGATGAAACTTAGAATTGTCTAGCTACTACATAATTATACTATTTCGGTTAATTTCAATTTATTTTGTTGCTTAATAAATTCATCGCTGATAAGAAAAATATGTTGATAAATGGTGACCAAAGAAAATTGACTATTCTCCTCCTCTGACTTGAACATGCACACGTGTTTGAACATCAGCTGATATTATATGCAGAACTTATGCACGATTATTCATACTATTTGACAGAAGTTTTCGGTCGCCTTCGAGGTTGGACCCGTTGATCGTACAAAAATGTGATCCTGAACGTTAAACATTTCTAGACAGATCCAATGCAAAATTTATGAGTGGACAAACGTATTCGAGCTACCAGCAGGGTTTCTACCGAGCTCGTGAATTATATATTGATCTCAGGGACATGTCAGCCTATCGTAGAACCTACGGGTAGTAAAATTTGTCGAACGTTTCCCCAGTTACTCGTTCAGGTGAATCGCGGAACAAGCACAAAATGGTGAGGACGAGGGAGGACGAGGGGCCCTTGTTCTTCAGGGACGGTATAGTTTACCGAGAATGGGGCTATTGGTTGGCCAAACTCGAGAAATACCCGATCGCTGAGGAATATTTCGAGAAGGCGATCCAACAAGGCCAGCACGATGACCTCAGGACGTATCTTGGCCTCGGGAAAATGCAGCTGGACTACGCCAGGTTCAACAGGGCTGTGAAGACTACCAAGATGTGCATGAAAATTGGTTAGAAACTATTGTTTCATTTTAATTATTATAAGTTTGCATTCGCAGTCTGTTCATTAAGTATAAATATATTTATCCTTTATAAGAATGTACAATAATATACGAGGAACGAATATTGAAATTTTATAAAATAATTCATTAGGAAAATGGTTAAATTCCTGGGTTTCTGTGTTCCATCAGGTTTCAGTTTTTACGAACAGAAACTACATAATCTGACTCTGACAATTTCCAATGAAATTTTAATTAGACAAATTGCAAACGAAGTTTGCATTCCACAAGTTGTAGATGAAACTCCAGTTTCTTCGGTCGCGATATTGAATTACATATTTTAAAACATCGGACCAACTTTGAAGCCGGCTCTGTGCTCGTTATTAGATCCGACGTACTCGTACGTGAAGCACATGCAGATGATGTCGCTTTTCCACATCGGCGAATTCGAGTACAGTTTGGTGCACGCTCATCAGGGTTACCAGAAGCATCATAGAACCTCCTTGGAGCACGGGATTCTGCAAGGGCGGGAGACGATCGAGGACTGCGTCGGTGTGGACACCGCGCCGAACACGTTGGCGATCCTCACCCCTTGGATAGAAGAGTTACAGAAGTATCGACAATGGCTGGAGGAGAAGCTCAAAGAGGAGGTAGACGAGCTCGCAGGTATAATCCTCTGCTCTTGATTCCGAGTTTGTAAATGCTTATACTATATCTTCGTATCGTACAGAACGGGGAAGGATTGCATTATTGTACGTAAGCCATGTAAAAAATTATGTAGTAACTCATATACAGGGTGAGTCTCGTAACATGACGAATATCTCATATGATAAAAAAATTAATTCGTAACGAATATAAATAAGATCCTAAAGAATATTAAATTATGCTTTAATACAAATACGATGCATATATTATATGCAACGATGATGCGATACGAGGGTATGATACAATAAGATGTTCCCTAAGAAACTATCTTTACCCTCGAAACTTTTCTAGTTAACTTCGATAGCAGCTGTGATTTAATTTAGCAGCGAAAGCTGGTATATCTCTCAAAGGTTGCACGGGCGTTACCGATTTAGCGAGTCTGACTTTCGCAGTAAATCCGATTCCGTGGGTGAACAAAGTTAACCGTACTCGTCCCGGGCACCGAGTTTCTCTTGCTAATTGGACTATAACTTCTCGTCTCGGTCGCACAAGGAAAAAAGGAGAACAACAGACAACAAGGGAAACTCGTTACAGCGTAATGCCATTCGTAAAAAAACGTTTTAATTTTGCCGGGATAGCCGCAGCGTTACAACCGCGAGGTCGGAGTGCGATTACATCGGCGAATAATATCCGTCCCGTTCCGACCAAAGCCGGACAAACTGGGGAACCGGGACCGGCGGAGATAATAAATGGCGGACACCGCGCTAGCACTTTTAAAAGGATAATTAATTCTACCTTTATTGCAGCGGCGATCAATTCCATTTTCCCACGAAATTTTAATCCGCGACGGTGTCTCGACAATATTTCACCGGCTCAGTCTCGCTGGCTCGGGATTTCATTTGAAATTATAACAAGACATCGTCGCCCGATGCCATGTTTTTGTCTCTTGTCCCCGGTAATGTTAATTGGACCGTAATGCAGTCGCCGTGTCGGTATGGAAATAACCACGGTCCTTCGAACAATCGATTACGCCTCGCGATTGAACAAACCGCGAGTTTTACCAGTTAAATAATCGAACGAAGCAGAAACGGTAAATCTCCATGGGTATAATAAATGAACAAGGAATTATTTATTACAATTTAGGTATTTTATAAATATTTGATTGTTTCTTTTTTTACTGCTAATTTAATTCGTGTTTTTATTGTTATTTTATGAAAGT